AAATTTCAGCCTTGTTCCTGAAGTTTTAAAATTTTACAATTTGGTCCCTAAATTTTCAAAATTTACAGTTTGGTCCCTGAATTTTCAAAATTCTGAAATTGGGTGATTTGTGTACCGACCCTGTTAGATTCTCAAACGTAGTTACTCTCATCTAGATAACAACTATATCACATGGTTTATTTATAATTTATGATATGCAATATTTTGCACCCCTAATGGGACATATTTCTATGGCATAAATTGTCATTTGCCATTTTAATGAGACAATTTTCCCGCCGTTAAGGGAGAGATAAGAAGCCGGTTCTTGTGTAACGGCGTTAATTATATGAAATGATATTTGTCTCATCTAAATTTGTGCATGGAAATATTAAAGCACAAAAGAAAAAAGAATTCATTTGCAACAATTTTAATATAATGTGTAAAATGCTAGATGCATTTATCGACAAAATAGCAACTTGATATTTTAATATATGTTGCAAATGAGTGCAAGAGAAAATGTCTAAGAAAGACACATTGCACATTAGATTTTGCCATGAAAGGCTTAATAAACGAATGTCCTCGAAGGACAAATTTCACATTGTGATTGCATCGTGAATCCCTAAATGGGTGAAAATTGATTATGGTACACAACTAACCAATCTGAATTTATGCATATAAGAGGGGGAGATATATATGTTGGTTCGAATGATTAACACACTTATAAGTGGTGTGAATACCGTTCAATTAAAGTCTACTAGCGCTAGTAGCATCATACTCTCATCATATTACTTATCTCATTCATGAAAGGATTCGTCTTAAAGACGATGTTGGGGGACGCCTCAACACCAATATCCATTACTATGATATGAGAATACTTGCCAGTTATGGTGGCATAAATGAAATTCATATTTGGATGAGAAAATCATTGATGATTACATGGTAGCTACCGAGATCATTTTAAATCGAACCATTATGTGCCAATAAAGAGTTGATTGGCAAATGAATCATGGTTAGCTTTTCTCTAAGTGAATAGAGAGACATTTGAGACCATTAGTTCTCAATTTTGTTGTTGTACCTATATAATATCTTAAAGAATTGAAAATTCTTTTCGAATGAATATTCATGTACCAAATTAAATTTGTTTATATTGAGTTTGAAAGTGGACAAGTAGTCCTCAATACTCCCTCCACATTGTGAAACTCAAAAGCGCCCGTTTTCTCCATGAATGACATTCTTATTGAAATAAATAATGAGCTCACGCACATAAAATATTGTGAAAAACTTTATTGATGCAATATAAAAAATTCTCTATAAGAGAAAAATACATGGTACATGAAAAGATATGGATCTCTATAAGAGATCGTACCCACAAAGGCTACAATCCCCATTTATATGAATATAAGTCTCTAAGGAGAATCCGGTACCGGAAAATGAAATAGTGAGCTCTTGATTGATAATAAAGAAATATGGGGAGTATAAAAGATGTTATCGAATAACTACATGTACAATTTTTTTTCATAATGTGAAGAGCTTGAAGCTCATACATTTTGATAGATGTCGACATCTAATTGGTCATTAGTATATGCATTCACAAATGCAATTGACCATGATTATTTGAAATTATTGATTACATGAATTGTACATTGATTTGCGATCATTACACATAAAGTTGTAAAAGCCTTTAGTGTGAAAGTGGGTAAAATATTGCGGTACATTTGAATACCTTTTGAAAATATATTTATATGATGCAATCACTTTATGATGGTATTCAAAATACTTGGCACGCATCATATGGATGCTAGTACCGCATATCTATATGGATCATAAGATTAATGAATAATTGATAATGCGTTGTGCATATAATAAGAGGTTTCGTGAGTTGTACTCTAGAAATGATCCATTTACATATTATCTTCAAAATATGGTACATTCACCTCAGTGAATACCTTGTCGATAATCAAATAATTTGACTTACCATTATCATGGTATAGATGTGAATGACCTAAATCTTGTGGAGACTCACGAAGAGCTCACAAAGATGGTCAATTATTTGGTGACATAATTTGAGATGAATAATATCGGAAGGGCAAAATGCATCTCGAAAAGAAGATCTATTGAGTGATATTATGTTTATCCAATCATTGGATATATTTGAAGATCTTTTAAGCCCTCGAGAAGATAATGAAGACATTGGTCTTAATATATGAGCATAATGTTGTCTGATTGCACTAACGAGAGTTTGGCTATATCAAGGGAGGTGGCCGAAGAATTATTGAAGATTTCTAAAGTACTCGAGAGTTAAAGAAGAAAGACGACATTGACTGTTATTGATGACAAACAAATATTGAGTTTGCAAATCCATACGTCGGCGATCTTACTCCAATGTCTCATGCTGAAATCAGGGGGAGCGTGATCAACAATTTCAGCACTGTACTCTTTTTCCTTCGTCCAAGTTTTTATCCCAATGGGTTTTTTTTTGGCAAGGTTTTAACGAGGCAGTGTTACGCTCTCAAGATTGAAATGGATATGTACTCTTTTCTCATTCGTTTAGGTTTTGTCCCATTGGGTTTTCCTAACAAGGTTTTTAACGAGGCATACTCCATATATGGTGGACATCCAAGGGGGAGTGTTATGAATTATTAAGTGTGGATGGCCACCATTACTACCATCATCAAGCACCATTACTCCCACCATTTACTCACCATTATATGCCCATAACTCCTTGTAACTCATGACCTTTCATGGTCTTACTTGTACTATAAATAGCAATGTTATCAGAACCGGACCGGCTATAGAACCGGACGACCATTTGGGTCATGGGTTTATAGGGTCGAACCGGTTCAACCGGGTTTTTGATTTTTTTTAATATGCTATTATTTTATTAATTGTAATGTTTTAAAAATATTATTTTCTTTATATTTTTAATCTCCGAGTTATTATTTTCGCTTTTATCTACTTCACCTCACTTTTTACTATATTTTATTGCTTATATTTTATCTTTTTCCATTTTTATTCTTCAAATCCAGCAATCGGTCACCCCTATTCGATCACCCATGATCATATCTGACAATCCTTCAACCACTCATGATTAGATCCGGCTACCCACTTCTAAGTATGTGAAGGTTCGCTCAAATCTAGCCACAAATAACCAACTCAATGGTGATTCGAGACTTTTTGGCCGAAAACCGGGTTCCTTGACTGACTCGGCGGTTCTCGGGTTTTACCCGGTCGAACCGGATTTTGGTCATTTAACCCCGGTTTTTGATTTTTCCGGTTTTAGATGTTAGACCGGACCGCTTTATTGCCGGGTCACGGTCGAACCGGTCCGACCGCGGCCGGTTCAGTCCGGTTCTAACAACATTGATAAATAGTACTCCATTGTATTGAGTTTGACACACATGAAGAAGAAGAGTAATACATATTTTATTCTCTCTATTTAGTCTCTTAGTTCTTTTTATTATGTTGTGTTCTTCTTCATTTTCTTAACACCAGTCATATTTTTAGCACATGGACTTTTTCTAAAGTTCCCAATTTGACGGGGTATTTTTTGAAAAGAAAAAAAAAATCTTAATATAATAATAATAATTATTATTTTAACAAGAACAATATAGATATGTTTCTTATCGATCGAAATTAGTCAACGGTTGAATTTTTTATTTTAACATTATATGTAGAAAGATAAGATGTCAAATAATACAATTTTTTATAATATTATTTTTTCTCTATTTCCACATTACATTGACCATGCCTATTTATACATAATAAAGACGGTGGTTGGGAATATTATAATTAAAATTAGGGTTAAATGTAAAAACTCCAATGTAGTATGAATTTTGTATCATATACTTTCATGTACTACACATAAATACAAAAACATCATTGTTGTTATTTTTTTTTTCAAAATCCGATGAAAATACCCATGCTAAAGCGTATAAATTTAAGAGTTTGTTTGTGCAATTTGTCACTATATTTTTTTTAACATTTTCAGTCAATTTTACTTGGGAAATTTTTGTATTTATATTTTTTTTCTCCAAAACATCTAATTGCTTGGTTTTTTTTTTTTTTTTTTTTTTTTTTTTTTTGAAGAAAAAAACATTTTATTTTTTGCCATTTTGAATTCTTCATTTTTCTTAAATGTCTTCCGGTAGTTCAAATTCTCAACGATCATAGGATTGTAAAGATGTTTGTAATCTTAGGATGTTTGAACTAGCGGAAAACATTAAAAAAAATAGAAAAAACTGAAATTGACTTAATAAAAGGTTTTATATTCAGAAAATTAAAAAAAATCTAAGCAATTAGATGTTTTGGAGAAAAAAATATAAATACCAAAATTTCTCAAGTAAAATTGACAGAAAATGTTAAAAAATATAATGAAAAATGGCTCAAACAATCCCTTATATATATGAGCTTTAGCAGGGTATTTTCATCATATTTTAGAAAAAAATATAACAGTAGAATTTTTTTTATATTAATATGTAGTACATAAGGTATATGATACAAAGTCCATAGTAAATATGTATTTTTGTATTTAACCCTTCAAATTAATTGGCCTATTGAAGCTTCTAGTGCAAAATACTTGGGGAGAGTTTTCAAGAACAATAAAGTTCTTGCTAATCTTAATATTGTAATAGTCTATTATGTATGTTGCTCGATTCCAGGATCATGCTTTTACTTCTCA